GGTACAGGAGGAGATTGTCCCTCCTTCCCCAGCAGAGCATCTGGTGGATTCGAACCGTGTGCCTCTGGGATTGTAGTTGCAGCTCCTTACCACTAGGCCACCAGAGCGCCCCTTTTTGTTTTGTTTTTAAATTTTATTATTTTTGTGTGAGTGTACCGTCAAATCAGATCTGACTGGTACAGGAGGAGATTGTCCCTCTTTTCCCGGCAGAGCATCTGGTGGATTCGAACCGTGCGCCTCTAGGATTGTAGTTGCAGCTCCTTGCCACTAGGCCACCAGAGCTCCCCTTGAAGTTTTTTTAGTATGATAATACGCATGTTGTTTTGTACTGTCGAGTCGGTTAACCAACGCATAGCTGACCCTCCCGCGGGTTTTCAGAGGCAGCTAATATCAAGCGAGAAGATTTCCCATGCTCCTTCCTCAGAGCAATTGGTGGCCTCAAACCTCTTGCCTTTGGGATTGCAGCGCAGCTTCTTGCCACTAGGCCACCAGAGCTCCCCAATAAGCATGTAAGACTACTAAAAATATTTTAAAATTAATTACATGTTGAAATTTAAAACATAAAATTTTAAACATAAAACATAAAACATAAAAATTTAAAACAACATACATTGATTTCACCGCTTATTTTAACTTTGAAAATAATAGACAACTGCTAGAAAATTCAGAAGCACAGATATAGCTCTTACTAGAGTAAGAAAATATATTTAGTTGTGCATTGGTGAAAGTTTGCACAGCATCTTAGGTTCCTATTTGACAATTTCTAAACTAGTTGCTCGGTGACATTGGTTACATTTCCACACTGTGGTTTGCTGTTTTGAAAAAAAAATAATAGAAAAGAAAGAAAAAAAATCCAAAATTTGCCATTTTGACAATTTTAAGCTTATAATTAAAAACTAAACCCGAACTCCACGGCCGTCCAGTCACTTCTGACTCCTGCAGACCCTTCATCTGGCTTCCCAAGCTGTGAATCTTTATGGGAGGAGCAGTTGGTGGATTTGAACTGCTGACCTTTTGGTTAGCCACGCTACACATTGTGCACTACGCCATCAAAGTTCCTTAAGTGTATAATTATTAAACTACTAATTGCAGTGGAGTGAGAACCGACTCAAAGCTGACCCTCCAGCTGGTGTTTGGGAGGCTGTAAATGGCATGGAAGGAGACTGCTCATCTTTCTCTCGTGGAGCTGCTGGTGGGTCTGAACCCCTAGAGAGGTGCTTCTGTATGTTAGCAGCGAGAGTTTGTATGAACTATGCCACCAGAGCTCCTCATGTGTATAACTTGTGTTGTCATGTGTTGAGTTGGGACTGGCCCAAAGATGACCCTCCAGCGGATTTCGGAGATTAAATTGCATGGGAGAGGATTGCCCATCTTTCTCCCGAGAAGCAGCTGCTGGTAGACAGACACCCTACCTTGGGATTGGCAGAATGACTCCTTACCCACTAGGCTGCCAGAGCTCCTTAGTGTATAACTGTTGCTGGTTTTATGTACCATCAAGTTGGGGTGGACTTGTAACTGCCCCTCCGGTGGGTTTTCAGAGGCTGTAAATCACAGGGGAAGACATTGTCCATCTTTTTACATGGAGCATCCACTGGATTTGAACCACTTCATTGGGGTTAGCTGCACAACCTCCTACTGACTGGGCCACCACAGCTCCATTAGTGTGTGTGATTGTTGTTGTTATGTGCTGCCTACTCAAGTTCAACTCACAGAGGCCCTATGAACAACAGATCAGAACCCTGCTCTATCCTGTGTCAACATTAATTACAGTGTTGTACAGTCATCACTACTATTTCCATAATGTTCTCAACACCCCAAATAG